AGGCACCCCGCTGTTCAATTGTTGAGATGATTGGCCCATAAACACTGCAATTTCATCCATAGCAATCATGTTGGAAAGATTGTATTTAGAGAAGTCAGCATCATCAATAAAGGACTTGAATGCAAGTGCTCGCTTAATAATGAGTATCTTCCAACCTAAACAATGTTGTAGATCTTCTAAAAGACAGTTCACTTTGCTGAAGGAAATTATCCAGCCAGTGTTGTGATGCTTTGAAGTCTTCGGGGGCTATGTCAAACTGTTGTGCCATTGCAAGGGCAAATTCTTGAATCTGAGCCCTATTCACAACCAAAGCCTTTGCTCTCCTGTCAACAACCCATTCACAGATCAGGTCTTCCAGCTCGGAAAATAATGGTTGCCGACCTGATCCACACTTGTGCTTTTTAGCATTTTCCTTGTCCACTTGTTCAATGAGGTTACCATACTCTGCTCGCCATTTTCTGACCAATCGGATACTCAACATCTTCTCTTTGCAGAAAGCAGTAAGATTTTGGCCCAAGAGTCTTCCACGATTCCTTTCTTGTACTCCATGGAGTATCTTTTTCTTTTTGTGCTAATTTCTAGGGGTAAAAAAAAAGGAATTGGGGTATCAAGGTGGGGAGAGGGGGATCACTTAAGATGACACAGGGGGGATCAAAAGAGGGAATCAAAATGGCACAGGAGAATCAGAGGGGGAATTACCATTTTAGTAACCCCTTTTGGTCCTCCTGTGTCATTTTGATTGCCCCCTCTGATCATCCTGTGTCATTTTAAATGATCCCCTTCCCCCACCCCTGTGCCACTGAATACCTTCACCAGACATCCCCCCTACCCCTTTATCAGACTTTTACCCCTGAGGCCTACCTGGGGACTGTCACTGGGCTTGCTGGGGCCTGGATCTGGGCTGGAGCAGGGTCTGCCACTGACTGAGAACCTTTAATCATCATGAGGGCGGCCGCAAGCATCAGGTAGTGTCACCAGAGACAGACCAGCACTCACCACCTTTGCCACGTCCTGTCCGCTCTAATCCTCCTGTTCTACACGCATCTGTGAAAGTCTCCTCCTCTCTCCCGCCCCACGCTCACCATTCACTCCGACCTCTGCTCCGCCTCTACACAGCAGTGATGTCAGGACTCCGTGTAATGTCACTGGTTGCTAGATGCCAGTCGGGGCAGCGTTTACAGTAAGTTAATTTTCATTCTGAGACAGAGCCTAGGGGGCCTTATTTTCGGGGGGATGCCTTATATTTCACTCAAAAGGAAACCTGTAAGTAGGTCTTATTTTCGGAGGATGTTTTATTTTCGGGGAAACACAGTAGTTGTTATATTTGTGTGTATTTTTTTTACTTAAGATTATTGGAAACATTTCTATATATAGTCTTAACTAACATTTAAGTCCTAAAATATACCCATTTCATAAAGAATTTAAAAATTAAAATGACTAATATTTCATAGAGAAGGTAGCATATTTGATAAGTATAACTCCCATTTTCTTTTTCTTTTTTCTTATTAGAAAAGTATTCATTTCAATCAAAGAGAAATTACACAGGAAAGTATAATGGACAAAATAAAATAATCTGTGATTTTTTTTTCACCTACTGATAATATTTTATAATATTTATATCTAGTTTTTCCTTGTCTTTTTCTCTGTGTTCATACTGCACTGATTGCCTGATTTTTAATTTAATGGTTTAGTCTAAGCATTTCTCCACATTATTAAAAGGAACCATTTAAATAGTTAATATTAATAGTCATAATATAATTATTTCCCAGTTACTGTTTCTATTTTTTTTAATGTTATAAGTTATCATTTCAAACAATTTCTTAGAAGTAGAATCCTTAGGCTAAATGGGATGGATGATTTTTAAGATTCTTAATATTGTCAGATTACCTTGTAGAGAAGTTATACGTAACCTATTTTGTATTACTAGCAGCCACATATAAAAGTGGCCATCTCTTTGAATCTTAGCTCACAAGGTTGTTTACATTTTAATCTTTGTAAATATAGCAAGTGAAAAAGGTATTTTTTGAGATATAAGTGATATATTAGGTATTTTGCTGGCTTTATTGTTTTTGTTTTGATGCCTGATTGGGAATCAAACTGGAGACCTTCTGGTACATGGTATGACGGTCAATCAACTGAGCTACACAAGCCAGGGCAGTATTTTGTTGTTTTTAATTCACATTTTCCTATTTCTGAGGTTACAATATTCAGTGTTGTTGCTTTACATGGGATTTAGTAATCATTTTAGCTTATCCAATATGGCCTCCAAAGTTGTATAGGAAATTTTCTTTTTGAACACTTGCAGAAAGAATATTTTTCAATCTCCAATAAATTCATTTGAGGTTATTTTTAAAATAATGCATACATATCTAATTAGTCAGAAACAGCAGTTTGGGTCTCCACAACAGACTCATCCCAGACTGCTCAGCAAGGCAAAAGCCAACGGGGCTGCAAGTACTAGTTCTGTGGGGATTATAGCTCAGAGCAGGGACAATCAAGACGTGAGACTCAAGGCAGACCCAGCCTCTGACATTTGGGTTGAACTTCACTGGTAGCAAGTCAGAGGGGAGATCCCTCCCACAAATGGGGCGTCAACAGTCAGGTCCCAATTACAAAAGAAGAACCCAAATAATGCACACAAGGGGCACTCATAGAGCATCCAGCTCAGCTGAACAAAGAACCTGCACTACTGGGCCCCTTAAGATACTTTGTACATTAGGCCAGCCTACAAAGAATGGGAGGCAGAACAGTTCTAACACATAGAAGCAAATATAAAGGGACAGCTAACATGGGGAGACAAAATATTACCTTGTTACCTTCCTAAAGAATATTGAAAATATTCAAGTGTAGAGTTATCTTTTTATCTGTCAGCTTTTACCCAAAGTAAATGATAGTAACTGTGCCTATACTCTCATTTCTAGCGAAGTTTAGCACTTTCTACTTTCTAGAATATTTTGATTACAGAAGCATAATACTAACAAACATCAAAATAGCTATCGCAAAACTGCCTAGCAAAGAAGCTCAACCCCCTTTCTTAGGCAAAAATTTAGTTTTATGAATATATTTAGTAATCTGATTTCCCATCGGAACTTGAGTTCTTCTGTGGATTACAATTAACTCAAATCAAGAAACAAGCTGTGACAGAAAATTAGAAATAGACAAGGGTAAGAAATAAACCTTACAGTAGAGAGACAAAGGACAGAGTAGCTATAAGGAAAGAAGAAGAAAAAATTGTATCAACAAGAGTCTGAGGGAATTGACAATCTGAGTCCTATTAGCTATCTTTTAAGAGTCTTAAACTATTCTGCACATACAGTATATTTTTAAACATTTCCCTGAAACAATATAAAACTGAATTATGTTCAGAATACATACATAGGATAGGAAGTATTTTTTAGAGTTTCTTCAGAACTTATTATAATTAAATTTGGGGGGTGTCTAATCTGAAAATTTTATTTAAGTCAGAATGGCTTATTTCCTACCAAATACATACTAATTTTTAAAAATTGGTTTTTTTGTTGTTGTTGTTGCTGTTGCATGAAAAATAGGTACATGATTGTTGATTTCTGATTACCTAGTTCACCTTCAACTGCATCTCCTTCAAATTATTAACCTTGGGAGGGTTTGGTTTCCTATCTAGTTATAATAGGAAGAGGCCACATTTTTAAAAATCCGATTCCTTTATGAAGTAAAAATTTAGTGTAAGTACTAACATTTGAGTTTTTGCACTTTGATTTTTAGAACAAAATTTAATCCAGCCCTAGCTGGTTTGGCTTGGTGGATGGAGTGTTGGCCTATGGACCCGGGTGGGTAGGGGGGAAGGAGAGTCCCAGGTTCGATTCTGGTCAGGACCACCTGCGCAGGGTTGCGGGCTCAGTCTCCAGTGGGAGGCATGCAGGAGGCAGCCAGTCGGTGATTCTCTCTCATCATTGATGTTTCTATCTCTCCCTCTCTCTTTTTTAAAATCAATAAAAATATATTTTAAAAAATTTAATCCAATGAGTTGCTTCATGGAGATGAATTTTGATAATTTATATTTAGCTTTTGAACCTAACACTTGGCTTTTCTAGAAAAACTAGTGGCCTGGTACATGGATTCCTGCACATTAAAAGGAAATTAATTTGAAGAAATATTTTAATATCACTATTCACCCTTTCTCTAACATAGAAGTCTCAGAGATGAAAGAAAATTAGTAAAATGTATATGAAAATAATATATAAATTGATTAATAAATAAACAACAGGATATAAAAACAAAGACATGATATAAAAACAACAAAACCATGATACAAAAACAACTGATAAAAACAATGACTGAAGTTGATTAACTTATTCAAATATCTCCCTGTATACCACATTAAGAGTAAAAATACTTTCAGAGAGTTTGACTAATTTCCCTTGTGATGAAGTATTTACAACTTTAACATCACACGCTCTTCCAATTCAAGACAAAGCAACACGCGCGATTGGCGCCAGCGAGAGCTTTATATGTATCACGCATGTGCAAGTCAATGTTTATTTTTAAATTGCCAGTGTGCATCATATGTACTGGCCAGTTGGTCACTTAGCCTTTTTTCTATTATTTTAGTACAATAGAAACTGTCCTCTACTTTGCTGATGATTTATTTATAGGTACTGAATAAATGGTGGGATAATAACTAGTTGAAACTGCTGAGATTTTATTTAATTTATAAATGGAGTACAAAGGTATTACATTTGTATTGAAAGAGAAATATGTTTTATTAAAGTAACTTTGTAGGGTTATTCTTCATTGCACACTGAAGACACTACCAAACAAATTTTACCAGTGTCTTACGCATAGTACGTAGATGTTTAAGAACTATTTGTTGAATGAATAAATGAGCATTGAACTTAATCTAGCTATTAGCATTGTAATAGGAATGAACAGGCGAAGTCTCAGATGTCATTTATTAAAAAGATTCTAACTGGAAAATGTTAACCATTCTATACTAATTGCATTTATTTGTATATGGGATGCAGGTGGCGATAAAAATTATAGATAAATCTCAGCTGGATGCAGTGAACCTTGAGAAAATCTACCGAGAAGTACAAATAATGAAAATGCTAGACCATCCTCACATAATCAAACTTTATCAGGTATGACTTAGCCTTACAACTCTCCATGCTTCTCACATTCAGTTCTCTATTTTGTATAATTGCTTTTCTCTTTTGTGATAGTTTTTTCAACGTATTAAAAAAAAAGGATGATGTCATATTTTTACTAAGCTGAGTACAACCATCTTTCTATATTCAAATAAAAAATTAGGAAAGTAAACACTCATAGCTTAATTTTAACTTGTCCTCAGACTGTAATTATTTATTTAAAAAGCTTACCTGGCTGGTGTGGCTCGTGGTTGAGCATCGGCATATGCATTAGGAGGTCATGGTTCAATTCCCTTTCAGGGCACATATCCGGGTTTTGGGCTCAATACCCAGTAGAGGTGTGCAGGAGGCAACTGATCAATGATTCTCTCTCATCATTGGTGTTTCTATATATATCTCTCTCTCCCTTCCTCTCTAAAATCAATAAGAATAAATAAATTTAAAAATTTTTTTTAATTAAAAGCTTACAGTTGTGCATTTGTGATACCATCTTAAACCTGCTGAGTTTTGGTGGTGGTATTATTAATGAGGACATGGGAATTTTGCTTATTTAAAAAATATATTGTTATTGTTTTATAAAATACAAAGGCCAAAAATGGTATATTACTTAGTGACATATTTGGTAATACCTAGAACCAAATCTTATATTTTGTTTGGGTTGTTATGTTAGATAAAGTAACTGAGCCATTTTTTTAAAAAACAACTTTATTAAGATATAATTTTTGTAGAAACTGCAAAGTTTTAAGTATAAACCATGTTTGTTAAAAGGAAGATTTTTCTCATATTTTTAAAGAGTATTTCATCTTTAGGAATGGTAATGTAATACCAAATACTTGTAATAATTTAATTCATTAAGATGTGGAATATTTATATTGGAAAATTAGTTTTAAACTAAAATGTTACAATATATTAGACTATATGGACCTATTGTATTTAGACAGTGGTACTTGTATGTAATTTGTATCTCTTTATGTATATATTCAAAATACAGATACATATTTTACGTATACATATGTAATGCAAATATACATATATATATTTAGCTAAACAACTTTTTATTGATAGAAATTTGCAGTTAAAGAGGTGTAGGACCATTAGCATTATCATTACCTAAAAATGAAAGACTGTGGTGTGCCACTCAAAACAATTCCTGAAGTTCTAAAACCATAGAGGCCCTCTTAGGTCAAATGTAGAGTATATCAGAGTATTTCTCCCTTTACACTTTAATTTTTTTTTATTTTGTAAATATACTTTTTATTGGTTTCAGAGAAAGGAGAGGTAGTGAGAGACAGAAACATCAGTGATGAGGGAGAATCATTGATGGGCTGCCTCCTGCACGCCCCCCACGGGGGATCCAGCCTGCATCACAAGTATATGCCCTGACTGGGAATTGAACTGTGACCTCCTGGTTCATAGGTTGCTGCTCAACTTCTGAGCCACGCAACCAGGCCTCTTTACTCTTTTTTTTTTTAAAGAAATTGAAGAGGATACTTATAAGAAAATAATCATATTCTTAGAAGTCTCTGATGAACCATAAGCCAAACTGAGGTTAAAAAATGAAGCTTCATATGATAATTTTATGTTTATTTGAACTAAATGATCAGGTAAATTGATTTGCTGTTTAGACCCAAATTGTAGGTGGCTCTTAGTTTTCTGATCTAACGGAGTAATCCTACACCTACAAGTTAGAGCAAATTTGCTTCAGCTTTTTAGTAGATAGTGGTTCAATTTCATGCTATTAGTATGTGCCAGTATATAAAGTCAATTTAGAATCTGTAAATTCATTTCTTTTCGGTTCAGTATAGTTTGAAAAATCAAGTTTATGGCAATGACAGGCTTCTTTTCTGGACCTAGGAAAACTAATTTAAATAAAAGTGTGTGTAGCAGTGGAGTTATGAAGAAACATTTGAAAAATGTTTTAAAATAATACTACTATGTTACAGTATTAATGTAAAGTAGGAGGAATATTGCATTGTGCCAGATAAACTGAGCTGTATTTCAGTCTCCTTTCCTTGATCAGAATCTCCCATATCACCCAGGGCTAGAAAAGTCAGTGAGGAGATGGTAAAAAAAAAAAAAAAAAACTGAACTTCAAAACTACTGTTACCTATATTAGCATTTTTCAAACTTGAATGTGCATAACCACCTGGGGATTTTGATAAAAGGTAAATTCTGTGTCAGTAGGTCTGGGTGGGACATGAGAGCCTACATTTATTTCAGTGCTGCTGCTGCTGGTCCGTGGTGACACTTGGAAGAACAGGGCTCTAGATTTTTCACCAAGGTGTTAGCATGAGGATATTGTGTCTTGTACTTTGCCAGCTTCTGAATTGTTCATAACTTTGACACTGTTATTAGTAGTTTTAAATAACTCTATCAAATGTTGTGGCAAACTGCAGTTCTTTCCTGTCAAACTAATATGGAATTATTTATCAATAGGTAATGGAGACCAAAAACATGTTGTACCTTGTGACAGAATATGCCAAAAATGGAGAAATTTTTGGTAAGCACGTTTCCTTATTTTTTCAAAATTTGAAAATGTCGCCCTGGCCTTTTGGTGGCTCATGTTGTTGGAACGTGAGGCAGCCAATTATTGTTTCTCTATTACATCAATATTTCCCTCACTCTCCCTCTTTCCTTCTTCCCTCCCTCCCTCTCTGTCTAAAATCAATAAAAACATATCCTCAGGTGAGGATTAAAACTTAGAAATTTCATTAATCTTCATAAATGGAATATTTCCTATTCTTCTGCCTGTTCAAGAGTTGGTAACATGAATTAGAAATTTTAACCATCAAATATAATAAAATATCCAGTAAGCTAAAAATATGGAATATAATTCTTTCTCTTCTACTTATGATATTAAAGATACTGCTTAATTCTCTCATCTGTGTTAAAGAGATTAGAAACTTGAAGATAGAGAGACACTTTCAGTCATATTGCAAGGGAGATTTCCTTTCCTTTTATCTTCATTTTTACCCTCTTTTTAACAAATATTTATTGAGCTCTTACCATGTCCCAGGCATTGTACTAGATAAAAAGCATACAGTGGTGGCTTAAATAACCCAATCCCTGCCATTGTGGATCTTAAACATTTTAGTAAGCCCTTAACTAAAGCTGTAAAACCTTGGGAAGTCACTAATTTTCTGAGATATCTTTTATCTATACACTAGAGGCCCGGTGCCTGAATTCATACATGGGTGGGATCCCTCAGGGTGGTCTGCAGGGATGGGGCCCCAGCTCGCACCTCCAGCCTGGCAGCCCTGACTGGCACCCCACCATGGCCTGGTGCCACCTCCTCACCTGCTCCACCGTCCCGCCGGAGGGGCAGTTGATCAGAGCCAAGCACTCCACTGGCTCCCTCAGCACCTGGGAGCCAGGCAGCGGTCCCGCCCCCCATCGCCGCCGCCGCTGGTCACCATCTGAGGGGTGATTGGGCGGGTGATCAGGCCCCCACTCACACCCACCATGGCCTGGCGCCACATGCTCACCAGCTCCACCATCCTGCTGTGGTCCTACTCTTGTCAGAACCCATTGGGGCCAGCAGCCCCTCTACTGCCACCTGCTGCCAGCAATGCGTTGCCGACACCCGCCATGTTCCACGCCACCCCCTGGTGATTATTGCACGTCAGAGCAAGCAGTCCAACTCCCAATCTCCCTGTCAAATGACCACCCAGGGGACAATTTGCATATTAGGCTTTTATTATATACTAGAGGCCCGAGGCATGAAATTCATGCAAGAGTAGACCTTCCTTCCCCCGGCTGCCAGCACCAGCTTCCCTCTGGCACCCGGGACCTGGGCTTCCCTCACAGCCCTGGCTTCATCCATAAGGATATCTGGTTGAATTAGCACATTACACTTTTATTATTATAGACTAGTGGCTAGTGCATGAAATTTGTGCATGGGCGGGGAGGGGGTCCCTCAGCCCAGACTGCCCCCTCTTCTTCAATCTGGAACCCTTTGGGGGATGTCCAATCCTACTGGATCAGGCCTAAACCGGCAGTCGGTCATTCCTTTCACAACTGAGGACTGCTGGCTCCTAACTGCTCACCTGCCTGCCTGATTGCCCCTAGCTGTTTCTGTCTGCCAGTCTGATTGCCCTCTAAGCAGCCTGATTGACTCCTACTGCCCTACTCTGCCAGCCCGATTGCCCACCCTCCCCTGCCAGCCTGATTGCCCACAACTGCCCTTCCCTGCCATGACCCGTTTCCTCCTTTGCATGATGCAACGGAGACCCCAGGGCTGGCCTCCTCCATGCTGTGTGGAGCCGCAGGACCCCCAGGCCTCTCTGCAGAGCGGCCACCAGGCACCACCTCTGCTGTGCACGCAGCCATCTTGTGGTGGCCATCTTGTGATGACTTCACACACAAGGACCACCTAGGCTTTTGTTAGTGTAGATTACATAGAATATAAAAGGCTAATGTGGAAGTGTTCCCTCCGGAGTTCTATTATACTAGGAGACCAGCAGTTCTATTACTCACTATGACATGCGCTGACCACCAGGGGGCAGCATGGAATGAAAGCAGCCCCTGTTGGCAGCCAAGGAAGGGAGGCCCTGGCCAGCAGCTAGCAGACAGGAAAGGAAGGCCCTGGCCAGCAGCCAGAAGGCCCCACGCTGGCCAAGCCTAGAACCCCTTCCCATGTCGAATTTTGTGCACCAGGCCTCTAGTCTTTAATAAGAAAGTATTTAGTAGTTTATTTCTATGATACAATTTAACCCTTAAAAATTATAGATATTTTATTAGTTCTAGTTTTCATCTATTTTATTTTTACTCTGTGGAGCCAGAACACTGTAGGTAGTCTAAATATTTTTGTTTTTAACCTAAATTTAAGTCCAAAATTGTTTTTTAAACAGCTTTATTAAAGAATAGTTTATGTAAATAAATTACACGTATCTTAATGTGTACAGTTTAATAAGTTTTACATATGTGAAAGAAATCATCACCACAATCAAGATATTCATCACTCTTAAAAGTTTGTGTGCTTTGTAATCTGTCTTGGCCCACATCACCATCAGGCAACCATTGATCTGTTCTCTGACTCTGTAGATTAGTTTGTTTTCTAGAGTTTATATAAATGTAATCATACAGTGTGTACTCTTTGGTTTATTTCTCTTGGTACAATTATTTTAAGATTCATTCATTTTGTTGTACGAATCAACATTTCTTTATATTGTTGATAGATCCTATTATATGAATTTACTCTAATTTGTTTATCCATTCCTGTGTTGATAGACATTTGGATTGGTTTCAGTTTTTGGCTATTACACATGAATTGCAATGAACATCCATATACAGGTTTTTAACTTATAGTTTACGTTTAAGTAATATTCAGCATTTAACATACAGTATAAGAAACTTACAATAATATACTTCCGTTTTGCCTTTTTATAATAGTTTTATGTTCTTATTATACATTTTTCTTACACCTATTTTATAAAACGCTAGAGGCTGGTGCACGAATTCATGCACTCGGTAGGGGGGAAGAGGTTCCCTCAGCCCGGCCTGTGCCCTCTCACAATCTAGGAGCCCTTGGGGGATGTCTGACTGACAGGGAACAGGCTTAAACTGTCAGTTGGGCATCCTTAGCGCTGCCATGGATGCAGGGGAGGTTCCCGCCACTACTGCTGTGCTCACCAACCAGGAACCCGGCTTCTGGCTGAGTGGTGTTCCCCCTGTGAGAGTGCACTGACCATTAGGGGGCAGGTCCTGCATTGGACGTCTGCCCCCCTAGTGGACAGTGCACATCATAGCAACCAGTCATTCCACCGTTTGGTCTATTTGCATATTAGCCTTTTATTATATAGGATAGTGTTATTTTTGTCTAAAAAGTTAATTAGTTTTAAAGACATTTCAAATTTTTAAAAACTCTTACATATTTAGCAGTGGAGATATCATTGTCACATCCCTATATGTAAATACATGCTTTCATTTTTATTTCTTTGTGTAGATACATTATTTTCATCTGGTGTCATTTTTCTTTTGCCTGAAGGATTTTCTTTACCATTTCTTGTGCTGCAGATCTGTTGATGATTAAATCTTTCAGCTTTCCTATGTCTAAAATAATCTTAGCCTTAGCTGGTTTGGCTCAGTGGAAAGAGCATCAGCCTGTGGACCAAAAGGTCTCAGGTTTTATTCTGGTCAAGGGTACATATCTTGGTTGCAGGCTCCACCCCTGTTGGGGCTTGTTTCTCTCACATTGATGTTTCTCTCTGTCTTTCTCTCTCTCTTCTACTCTCCCTAAAAATCAATGGAAAAATAGCCTCGGATGAGGATTAACAACAACCTAAAATAAAATAAATAAAATAAAATAAAATAATCTTATTTTGTCTATTTTTGAAAGGTATTTGTACTGAGTGGTTTTTGTAGATTGACTTTTTTCCTTCAGTAAAGACGGTGCTTCATTTTCTTCTCATTTGCATTATTTTTGACAAGAAATCTGCTGTCATCTTTTTCTTTATTCCTCTGTATGTAATGTGCCTTTTTCTCTAGCTGTTTTTAAGATTTTCAATATCATTGGTTTCAATAATTTGATTATGATATGCCTTTGTGTGGTTTTCTTCATGATTCTTATGTTAGGTATTCACTGAACTTCTTGGATTTGTGAATATAATTTCCATTATACAGAAAATTTTCAGCCATTATTTTTTAACTAATTTTTCTGGATCATTCTCTCCTTTTCTTCATAGGCTCCTATATACATATATTAGGCTGCTTGAAATCCTCCCAAAGCTCAATGTGCTTTTCCATTTTAAAAATTCCTATTTATCTCTGTATTTCATTTTGTATAGTTGCTATTTCTGTGTCTTTAAGTTTACTAATCTTCTGCAATGTCTAATTGCCAGTAATCTCATCCAGTTAATTCTTTATCTCAGACATTGTCATTTGGGACTCTATAAACTTGATTAGAGCTTTTTTTTTTTTTTTCTTGCATCTTCTATATCTTTAGTTAGCTTTTGAATCAATAGAGTACATTTTTAATAACTTTTAATGTCCATGTCCCTGATTTTGGCATCTATCAGTTTCGGATCGGATTTGAATGGTTGATATAGCTCCTCAATTTTGGTTATATTTTCCTGCTTTTTTTTACATGCCTGCTAGTCTTTGGTTGGATGGCTGACTTTGTCAATTTTATCTTATTATCTAATTTGTTTATCTATAGATGCCACATATTTTTATATTTCTATAAGTCATCTTATCTTTATTCTGATATGTAGTTAAATTATTTGGAAAGTTTGATCCATTTTGGGTCTTCCTTTTATGATTGGAGCAGTCGTCTGTCTAGGTCTAATTATTTCCCACTATGACACCCCATAAATTCTGGGTTTTGGGGTTTTTTTTTAAGCTTGGCCAGTAGGAATAGGCATTATTTCTGGTACCAGGCACTATATATATATATATATATATATATATAAAAGCCTAAGCAACCATTATAATCTGTTGCTATGATGTGCACTGACCACCAAGGGGCAGACTCTCAATGCAGGAGTTGCCCCCTGGTGGTCA